GACCGACCCGAACGTCGATAAGTTGGTGCTCGTCGCCAAACCGTGGCCAGCCCGCCAGATGCTACTCGATGGCCTGCGGGCCGAGAAGGAGAAGTTCAGCCCCGCGCGGGCCCCGCCCCAGCGGGCTGGCTGGAAACGCAGGGACCGATCCCAGCTGCGACGCCCGCGCCGGCACCAGCTCCGTCGGCCGCCTCCGTCCCCGAACGAGGCTTTCTGGGCGAAGACAACCCACAGCCTTCTCAAGATGACTTGGGCGCTGGCGCGGGAACCCCTTCTCAAGATAATCGCAGCTTTCTCAAGATAATCACAGCCTTCTCAAGATTTTTTATGTTCCTGGGGAGCGCCCCCCGCGCACTAGCTATGATCCCCCCCTTTCCAAAACATGGCCTGCCTCACGGGCGCGTCCCATCCCCCACTCGCCCCACGCCCCGCTGCAGGCGGGGGGGGGTGCGGTGCGCTTTCCAGACATATTACACGCCTTGGGACACCAGACCCGGCCAGCCCAAGATCGTCAGCGTCCCAGCCCTGCCTTGATGCACCCTGACGGGGCTGCCAGGGGCGCGCGGATGTCCCAGGAGTCTCCTGGCCCACGCGTTCGCCTATGCTGGTGGAATTACTTGTGTACTACCCCAAACTGCTTGTTTGTATGGGTCATATGTCTCGGTGCATGATGGGGAACTGCACAACGACCGCCAGAAATTTAGAGTCCTTTCCAACGTTGCAGCGCTTGACCCCCAGCCGAAGCGTGCGAAACCGTTGTAGCGCACGGCCGCCATAAGCACAAAGAAGACCACCGATGCGAGGGCACTGCAGCAGCGAGCATACACTGTATCCCAGTTAGTGGGGGAGACTGGCGGTGCCGCACGGGGCTCAGGTATTGCGCGGCATGACCCTTCTCATTCAAACTCGTGGGAACTCTCACCAGTTGAACATGATTTGCTGTGAATTTCTCTGTGTTCCCATGTCGTCGCAAAAAAATGCACCAGATGGATCCCGCAAGAAGTCCGGGTCCGGGGACCGATCTGGAGCGGATTTAGCTTCATCCCCACTCTTGGCCGACTTCCTGGGGTCCGAACCAGTTCAGACCCCCCCGCCACCTCCAAATTGGGGCTTGGGGTTCACCAGGTTGCGCCAAAGGTTTGATGAGCCCTCGTCTGGGCGCGGCAGGGATCTCTGTCGAGGTAGTTGCACCGCCACCCCAAGGCGCGGGTTGCCAGCCGCACCCTCTGCAAGCCACTCCTTGCGGAGCTCGCCTGCTCGCCCGCCTGCCCGCCAGCTTGCTCGTGAGTTCAGGTGGTGCGCTCGAGACATCAGGCAGCAAAAGCGGCATGAACAAATGTTTGTCGGAGGTCCGCGCGGTGTTCTTGGATCTGCAATGGGCCCCCATCGCGGCGCCTCCAGCGCCGCCCCTGGCAGATTCCGCGCGCCAGGGAGAGGAGTCCAGTGCCGATCCAGGAAATCCGTGCGGACCTCAGAGGAGCAATTGTCATGCAGTTGTTGTTGTTCCTCTACAGTCAACCCGCATAGTAAGGATAGGCAGCCTTCTAAGGATGGGCAGCCTTCCCAGGAGTACCCTTGCATCCTTGCCTCCTCGGTCCATCCTTGGCCATTTTCGTTGGCCGCACCCCGCTCGAAAAGCTTCGAACTGGGCGTCCAAGGCCCTTTGCATCCTTCTCGCGCATCCTTTCACCAGGCTCGAACTTATCCCTATCCCTAAGATTGACACGCCAAAAGGCGAGGACAATCTTAGGGATGCGCCCTCACAACCTAAGGAATCCCTAAGCTTTGCATGGTGATGAGGCGATGCCCAGCTTGTGGATAGGGATCTGTTCCAGGCTGGTAGTCATTACTATCCCGGTTGGCTGCAGGTGGGGCGTTCCAGAAGGGGCCTCGCTTCCGAGGGCCGAAGCCACTCGCGCCTCGTCTGCGGCGGGCTGCCAGCGGCAGGCGGCGGAAGGAGCACGAGCCTGCCTCCGCCGACCGAAGGCCAGCGGACGCCTGCGGAAGTAGAAGCGGCGGCTCGGAGATGGGGTCCCGAGGGATGGGGTCCTGAGGATGGAGAGGGGATACAAGGGTGGACTTCCAACCGTGCTCACTTCCAGTTGCTCGCGTTTCTACTTGTTCCTGGCCCTCCAGTGGCCACGCAGAGGCCCAGGATAGAACAATTAGGAATGAAAGGATCTTGGCCCCCAGAAGAATCACATAATTTTCGACTGCTTAGGCATGACAAATGTGTACATTGTTTGAGGCACCTCCTCCTCAGGACCCCATCACTCAGGACCCCATCTCGAAACCACCGGTAGAAGATGCGCCCCCGAGGGGAATCAGCATTTTTGGATCCCAGCGCGGCGTGGGTCGGCCAGGCCTCCGTCTGCCCGCCCGCCCGCCAGGCACGTCTGCTCGCACGGCCGCCCGCCCGCGGGTCTGCCAGAGGCTCGCCTGCTCGGCGGGGCCGGGCGGGCGGGCGGGGCCCAAGAATGGCGCCCTGGCACGATTAGGATTTTCAGGACGCAACAGCCACGTGCATTCGCGGCGCTGAAGTCCCAGGAACGGTGTTCTGGCAGGGACTGGGATTGCAGGACGCATCAGTTACTTTCGCTGAAATTTCAAGATTCTGGGCTTGCGCGGCAGGCCACGCCCAAGGCGGGCGGCCAGCCGCACAGAGCGACCCCTCTTGCAGACAAGACGCAGGGCAGAGGCACCGACGGGCCTCGCCGTACCGCCACGGCGCTGAAGCAGGGACCGCTTTGGGGTCGGAAGGGGCTCGCTGTTTTCCTCGAGCCATTGCGTGGTTGTTCCTCTCGCCCTCCTCGGTGCCCCCAGGCATTCCTGGTGCCAGAAAAGGGGCATCTTTCCTTCTCCAGCGGCCCCTTCTTTCAACAGCCTCGCCGTATCGCACCACGCCTTTGACGGCCGCAGCGGTCCCCCTCCTCCTCCTCCTCCTCTTCCTCCTCTTCCTCCTCCATCTCCTCCTCCTCTTCCTCCTCGTCTCCCTCCTCCTCCTCCTCCTCCTCCTCCTCCTCCTCCGTCGTCTTTCGGGCGGCGCCAGGGCTGGGATGCCAGAGCGTTCCCGAGCGCTCGCAGAGCCTTCTGGCGCGCCCTGGGGCGGCCGCGGCGCGCGGTGCTGTCCATCCAGGAGCGCAGGGCCTCAGAGGTCCCCCGAGCCTCCATAGCCCGCTGTTGCGCCGGTCTGCCTTTGGCTGGTGTTGGTCCTCCCTCCCTGTGGCGCTCCTCGATCTCCTCCCGGATGTCATCCTCCGCCTCCTCCCTCGTCGACTTCGGTCCTCCTCGTCCTCGCTCCGCCTCCTCCTCCTCGCCCTGAATAGTTCCAGTCTTCCTCGTCCTTCTGGACTTCGTCTCAGTATTTGGCTGCTGTTGGGGCTGCCGTTCTGATGGTAGGCATGCCCCTTCTGTCGACCACACGTAATAGTGGCCCTTCGCCAGAGTGACCTGCGGGCCCTCTGGCGTCCCCCGATCGCCCAGAAAGATGCGACAGCAGCGGCTTGCGCGCTTTGGTCTGGGCTCCCCCACGCCCCTGTAAAGCCGCGCACTCAAGTAGGGGCACGACAATTACATAAACATGTAAACTCGCAGGTCCGCGCGGATTTCTCGGATCGGCGCTGGACCCCCTCCGCGCGCCAGGGAAGGAGGTCCAGCGCCGATCCGAGAAATCCGCGCGGCCTTTCGAGTTGTCATGTTTATGCCGTTGTTCGTTCCCCTACTCTTGCCTACAAGCCTCGTCACACACACACACACATATATATATATATATATATATATACATATATATATATACAAGACTGCAGTGGCGCTTCGCGCCATGCACCTTGGTCCTTGAAGATTGGTATGCAGGCGGAAATGGCAGGAAGGTCAAGCGGACAATTTTGCGATAACTCCTTGCTGCCTTTTTCTGGCATCGCCGTTATAATAATGTTGTTCGTTATCCCTCCTCCATGCTTAAGTTTCCTCATTCTCGCCATACCCTGGGTATTCTCCCCATCCTCCTCAGCTCTTTTTGCGGAGGCTCCTCCTTGGAGAGCCTCTGGGGGCCTCACCAAAGTTCTTCGGCTTTCTTAAAGCCTTCTGGAGGCCTCCTGGGCGTGTTCTGGGGGCCTCTGGGGCTTCCTAAGGCCAACCTGCCTCTAACCGCAGTCTCCCTGAACGCCCCGGTCACGATTTGGAATGCTTCGGAGGGTGTCTTGGGGCCATCTTGGGCCGCCATGAGGCTCTCTTAGGTCAATTTTGGACCCCTGTTGTGCCGTTCTGGGGCTCTCTCGGACTGCCTGGAAGCCCTTTCGGATGGTTGCGGGGCGACTTTGGAGCCTCCCAGGCGACTTCGGACGCCCAGAAAACCGCTGTCGTGGATCGTCGGGAAGCCGAAAAGAGGAGAACCCGAAATTCACCAAAAACCTACATTAAATCGATAATGATTCCCTCTTGGGGCCTTCTTGGGGGTGCTCTTGGAGGCCTCTTGGTACGTTTTGGAGCGATCTTTCGGGGTATGACGGCTTCTTGGAGCGCTGTTGTGCTGTCTTGGGGTTCTCTGGGACGTCTCCGATGACCCCCCTGATCGCCCTAGGTGGGCTGTGAAGGCTTGGCAAAACGCCCTGCGAGGCCCGGGCGGCCGCTTCGAGGCCCGTCCAAAGGGTCCCAAAGCCCCAGATCCCGGGAGTCCGGTTTTGGAGGGGGGGGGAGACGGGTTTCCCCCCCGCCCGGGCTTGCAAAAATATAGAAAGAGGAATATATTGAAGCGCTGTTTAAAATCGAAGCGCCCGATAGTTCGGTCAATTGTCAGACAACGCGTTCTTCAAGACTGTGAGGGCACTGGCGGATTTCGGACACCCCTGCGTTTGGGCCGAATACCTCATACTAGCATTGAAGTAGCGCCCACCACGCAGGCACCGAAAGCAAACACCGTCGATATATGTTTGACGAGTCTTGTAGGGCCACTCTTGCGTGTAGCCGACCCGCGCGCCCCTCGAGCTTCACGCGCCCCGGAGGTGTACGTGCCCCAGCCCGTGTGCGGCAGTGGCGGCGTGCCGCTGGCGCCGCCGCCGGGCGTGGCGAGCAGCTGGCGAGAGCTCTTCGAGGACGCTGCTGCCCCCTCCTCCTCCTCCTCCTCCTCCTCCTCCTCCTCCTCCTCCTCCTCTTCCTCCTCCTCCTCCGCCTCCTCCTCCCTCCTCTCTCCTTCTTCTTCTCCTCTTCCTCCTCTTCCTCCTCCTCCTCCTTCTCCTCGTCCCTCATTCTCCTCCTCCCCCCTCCTCTCCCTCCTCCCCCTCCTCCCCCTCCTCCCCTTCCTCCTCGTTCCTCCTCCTCCCCCTCCTCTCCCCCTCCTCCTCCTCCTCCTCTTCCTCCTCCTACTCCTCGTCTTCCCTCCTCCTCGTCCCTCCTCCTCCTCTCTTCCTCGTCTTTCCTCCTCCTCGTCCCTCCTCCTCCTCCTCTCTCCCTCCTCCTTCTCCTCCTCCCCGTCCCTCCTCATTCTTCCCCTCCTTCCCCTCCTCCTCCTTCTCCTCCTCCTCCTCCTCCTCCTCCTCCTCCTCCTCTTCCTCCTCCTCCAGCGGCGCGCGCGGGTCTCCCGCGCGGCCGGAGCACAATAGTCTGGAGCTGGCGCAACCCCCCAAACCCAGACGCGGCCCACCGCTCGGCGGCGAGCCGCCCCCGAGGAGGAAGGGGTGCGCCAGCCGGGGCCTATACCTCTCATGCCCGGGACCGCATAGGCGAGCGCCACCATGCAGTCCCCAGGCGCCAGCCGCGAGGTGCAGCCCGGCAGCCCCTGCGCCGCCCCGCGCCCGCGCCGCCAGCGGATGGGCACCTCGCCGCTTCCAGCGCGCGCCGCCCTGCGCCTGCTCCGCGAGCCGCGCCGCCTCCGCGCCCACGCCCGCGCCTCCAGCGCGCCGTCGCCGCGCCGCCGCCGCCAGGCCGCCGCTGGCGCGATGCGCTCCCAGCTTCGCGCGCCTCCTCCTCCTCCTCCTCCTCCTCCTCCTCCTCCTCCTCCTCCTCCTCCTCTTCTCCTCCTCCTCTTCCTCCTCATAAATCACAGACGGTTCCGCTTGGTGTAATGTATCTCGGCGAAGAGCGCCTGAGAGCGCTCAGCAGCGCCCCGAATAGCGCCACGCGAGGGAGGTGCATCCTGTCCGCTCTGCTCGTGATTGGGCGCGCTGCTGGGCGCGGTGGGGGGACGAAAAGCTCCCGCGAGGTGCTTTCCACCAGGGACAGGACAGCAGGCACGTTCGCACGGGGTGCCCACGAGTGGGCACGGGCGCCAACGTGGCGAAAACACCCGAAACCCTTCCGATCGCTCAAGGAAGTAAAGCAAGAACCACTGGGTGCAAGCGCTGCTTGGGCAACCTTGGGACACGTTCTTCGTCGATCCGCCAAGGTACCAGCCAGTGCGCCCCAGATTTTATGCAGGTCCCTGGGGCCTGGGGTGGGGGGGGATCAGAAGTTTCCGCGGGGCACATGTTGGCAGGCCGATTTCTTACATGCTGCGCGAACTGTACGCCAGAGTCTATTTTGATCCGGTCGATCGGATTTGCCATCCATTTTGGCTGGCCCGTTCTGGTTTGGTTTCGATGTATTCGGCGCGATGCGGTTCGACCTTCCACTTGGAATGGTCCGATCCGATTTACCGATTCGATGCTGACTGATCCCGGAGGCTGCAGTTCCAGTGGATTCGAGTTCGTTCGGGTTCCGCATGGGCGGCGCGCTCGAGGCAGGTCGTCGGCGCACAAGCCTCGAGCCAGTGAGCCTCTCGGTTGTTTCATGAAGGGGTTTCTGATTTTTCCGCCAATCTGGGCGTAGACTCTTCCAGGACCCCGTCTGCCGTGGCCCAGCCCGCAGGGGGTCTCGCGTCGGCTCGGGGAGGGGCTCTGCTCGGCTGCACACGTCGGATAGGCCCTTCGCCAGAGTGGCCTTGGTGCCCGACGCGGCGTGCTCGGGCGGAGGGCGCTGTGGGGGCCAAGCCCAGGCACGCAGGCCGCCACGGTCGCATCGCATGCAGCGACGAGCACGCCGCGCACGCACCCGTGGTCTTCCTGCGGCAGGAGTGGCCAGCAGGCCAAGAGTTTTGCCTGCCGGGGCCAGCTGTGGCGTGCCGCCTGTCTGCCCCGGGGCGTGGTCACGGGAGGATCCCGCGCGTGTCTCGGGAGCGGAAAAGAGGGGGGTGATGACTAGGGGGGGGTGGATCTCATGGCGGGGGCCATGATATCTCCCCAGGTTTCATGGCGCCTCTTCTTATTTCATTACGTCCCTGGTCCCCCGCTGGGCCGCGCACATGCCGCCGGTCATGATTTGCGCCCCCCCCTCTTGGACACCCCCCTCTTTTCCGCTCCCGAGTGTCTCCAGAGGGTTGGCAGCCCGGAGGAGATATGCTCTTGAGCAGGTCAGGCCGAGTCGAAGTCATGGGCTGACCCCATCCAATGCGTCCACACGCCTCGTCGCCCCGTTGCCGTGTGTACTTGCTATTGGTTTCTGTGTGTTTGAGTGTGCGTATGCAGCCACAACCAATACCCTGATTTGCCCGGCCTGATGTGTCGACTGTTACTCACACTGCATGCGTCTCTGAACGGTGCTACTAGGAGCCGTACGTGTACTTTATCTGAGTAGCGACATTCTATAAATCTCATACTGTCTCTGAGGAGACAGGCATGCTACCCTTTCTGGGACGGGATGTGGTCTGTGCGTGATGCTCGATATTGCGAGTGAGCTCGCGTCTTCGAGCTCACGAGGCAAATACAGTGTCCCAAGTGCCTCGGACGCTGATGGCTTTAGGCGTTGCGTTGCCCCTGTTGATCCCGCGCTCTCCGTTCCTCATCATCCCAACTGCGACTTGAGTAATGTTTGAGTTTATCCAGCTGCCTGCGGCAAGTCCCGCTGCCGTGCCAGCCCATCAGATGGGTGGCTCCAGGCTTGGAAGGGCCGTGATGATTCAATGATGATGGTGCTGATGTTGATGCTGATGCTGACGATGACGACGATGCTGATGAGGATAAGGATAATAAGGATGCCTATGGTCATGATGAGCATGATGAGGGTAATGCTGATGATGAGAATGAGGATAGTGGTGGTGATGGTGATGCCGATGCTTCTGCTGCTGCTGCTGCTGACGATGATGATGCTGATGATGTTGATGACGATGTTGGTTGTGATGGCGATGGTGATGATGATGCTGATGTTGATGCTGATGCTGACGCTAATGTTGCTGATGATGAGTATGGTGATGATGCTGATACTAATTATGGTGGTTGTGATGATGATGCTTGCTGCTGGCGTTGATGATGGTGATGATGACACTGACGATGATGATGGTGATGACGATGGTGATCACGCTGACGATGAATCTGATGATGCTGACGATGGTGCTGATGCTGATGATATTGGTGATGATGATGATGCTGATTGTGTTGATGATGACGATGGTAGTAGTGATAGAGTGACGATGATTGTGATGATGATGACGATGCTGATGATGATGAGAAGGTTGAAGATGCTGCTGATGCTGCTGATGATGATGGTGGCGAAACTGATGATGATGCTGCTGATGATGATGTTGATGCTGCTGCTGCTGATGATGGTGATGATGGTGATGATGATGATGATGATGATGATGATGATGATGATGATGATGCTGATGCTGATGCTGATGATGATGTTGCTGCTGTTGCTGCTGCTGCTGATGATGATGATGATGACGACTGCGATGACGAGGAGGAGGAGGAGGAGGAGGAAGCGGTGGAGGTGGAGGACGGGGAGGAGAAAGAGGAAGACCGTCACATGTGACACGTTTCGCCTTCATTACTTGAGAAGTTCTCATGGAATTCGTTTTGGCCGTCTTTGGGCTGTCTTGTCCTCCTGTGATGCTGTAGAGTTCCTTGAGGCCCTCTGGGACCGTCTTTGGGCCCTTCTAGGCCGTCCTGGGGTTCTTTTGGGCGTCTTTGGTCCCTCTTGGCCGTTTGGTGGGTATCTTGGGGTCGTCTTGGCGTCGTCTTGGGCAGTCGAAGGGCCTTCTAAGGCCGCCTTGGGTTCCACGAGAGGCCCTCTTGGGCCATCTTAGGTGCCTCATGGGCCATCGTTGGACCCTCGTTGGAGCCTCTCGGGCCGTCTTGGGGTCATCGTGTAGGCTTCGTTTTGAGCTGACGTAAGCCCGACAAGGCAAGAGCCTCAAAATCGGTAGAACGCCCAATACAAATCACTGGTCTTGGCTTCTTATGACCCTGTTGGAGGTCCTCTCGCGGCCCTTTTGGGCCCTCTTGGAGGCGCCTTCGGCCGTCTGAAGGCCGTATTTGGCCGTCGTTGGGTCATCTTAGCCCGTCTTCGAGGCATTTTGGGACATTTTGGCGTCCCTGGTTGCCTCCTTGGGCTGTCTTGGAAGCTCGGGACGCAGATCCATCGTTTTGTAAAAGACATCGTGGCCTCGGGAGCGCGGTTCCATATTTTTCACGAGAGATCGTGGCTCCAGGGCAGGCGGGGGTGCACGCAGCATTGTGCAGGTGAAAGGGGGGTCCTGTGTTGGCATCCTAGCGCCCACCTCGTGCAGGCACGCAGGCGGATGCCCACTGCTGGCGGGCCTCTCCGCCACAAGGGCTTGGCCCCAGCGGGCCGGAGCCTCCCCAGGACATGCACCGCATCGCCCGCGCCGAGTCGGCGGAGGCGCCAGCGGGCAGGGCGGGTCGCCGGGCATGCCTGAGCGCACGACTCCGCAGGGGCGAGCTCGGAAAGGCTCGCGACAATCTCTTCAGATGGGAAAAATGGGGGTACCGACAGCGCCATCCTTACCTCTTTTCGCCTTCTTGCGTCTCCTGGGAGGTTCTCGCCGCGACGGGTGGAGTCGCCGGGAAAGCTTCGTCAGAAGGCGCTCCAGGAGAGGTTCGGGTGGTAGCAGTATCAGCACTTGCTAATTAGTTTCCCCAAGAAACCAGCGGCGTCCAGCGACGATCTGGGTTCGCGCAAAAAGTGCGGCGGGGTGCAGCTCAGCCGGGCAGGGGGGGAGCGGGGCATCAGCAGTGGGCCTGCAGGCGGCACCGAAGAGCTCGGACCCAGACCTCGGGCGACGCCGTAGGGGCATCGGAGACCATGCGTTCTGGACGCCACCTCCGCCCCTTGCGGCTCCCTCAGGACCTCCAAGCCTCTGGAGCCTCCCAGGAGCACCAGAGACCCCCCGCCAGAACTCCTCCTCCTCCTCCTCCTCCTCCTCCTCCTCCTCCTCCTCCTCCTCCTCCTCCCCCTGCCCCTGCCTCCCTCCCCCCGGGTTTCTAAGAGCATTGTTTGGGGGCCCCCCCGTGTCCATAGGAAGGCCTCCGGCGGGCGGCACGCCGAGAGTGCAGCGTTACGTGGGGCAGCAGCAGCGAGAGCAGCGGGGGGTGGAGGCGGGGCCTCCCCTCTCAGGGAGCGTGCGGCCGCCTGCTCGGCGCTCTTGGCGAGGGCAGGGCGCGGCAGAGTCGGATGCGTCTTGCTGGTCATCGGGCTTTGGCCGACTCGTCCTGTGCCGTCTCCCATGTCCAGGAGGATGAAGACGAATGCTCCCCCAGAGCCCCCCTCCATCACCAGGAGAGGATTGCCCTTTTCCGTTGCAGTCGTTTCGCGGGGTGCGGACATTAGGGGAACAAAAAGTGGCACAAACATCAAATCCCAGAGGTCCGCGCGGATTTCTCGGATCCGCGCTGAACCCCCCGCAATCCTCCTCGAGTCATGGGGGGGGGCTTTGGGGGATTATTCGTCTTCACCCTCCCTCTCTTAGGCAAGCCGTCCTCCACCACCTCCTTCTTTCTTGGGCAAGTCGTTCACAGGCGTGTCCCCCTCCTCCTGCTTCCTCTCCTCTTCCCTGTTGTTCTTCTTCGTCTTGGCCTGCGGGCCTTTGGAGAGTAGGTTGCCTGACTGCACTGGAGCTGCGGCCAGTCCACGACGTATCAATGATCGGGAAGCCCCACCCTCCTCCGAGCTTCGGCGTCCACCAGGCGCGTCTTTGAGAGCATTAGGTCGATACCGCGACTTCGAGCGGCTCGACAGGCATGTGGCATGAGACGATACGTCAGGGGGACAGGACAAACCTTTGCACATGTCACGGCAGCGTCGCATGCATTTCTGCTATGGTCTCTCCGCTTGGGTCGCATTGCCAGGGCTGGCGTTCTTCATCTCCTCGCATTCTCAGCTCCTTCCAGCCATGAGCGTCTATACAAAGCACGCAAGCCGCAAGTAGCATTATGATGATGGTCAGCCTGGGCATGGGCATGGGCATGGGTCCGGGTTTGCGAGAAGTGTCCCTGGCTCAAGGTGCCAGGTGCGCCCAGGATTTCCAAGGAGGCACCCTCGGTTTCCAGAACAACCCCGCGAGGCCCAGAAGGCATCAGTGGCTCCAGAATGGGGTGAAAACATTGGGGGCACCTTGGGCCAGGGATCTATATCGTCTAACCGATACCCATCCCCATCTTGATCCCCAACGTACCACCACCCTAGGGATCTGCCCCTCGAGACGCGTATAGGGAACAGCCCATCCTCCAATCTGGGGGGGTCCATCGGCCAGTGGGGCCCAGGCCACACCAGTGGGGATAGGGATCGGCGAAACGATGCTCACCCAGAGATCCGACGTAGTGTTTTTGTTCAATACGGGGTCCCCAGAAGTCTCGACCCCTCCCCCAGGACCGGCTTTTCATCCCGAGTCGTTCTCTTGACGGCTCCACGGCCCAGCGAGGGCCGCTGGAGACCGAAAGTGGCGAAACGCTTCCATGTGGATTTTTGACAATGCGTTGGCTCTCTGGGCAAGGGGCATTCTCAGCAGCCCAGGAAGAGGAGGAGGAGAAGGAGGAGGAGGAGGAGGAGGTGGAGGCTGAGGTGGAGGTGGAGGGGGAGGAGGAGGAGGAGGAGGAGGAGGAGGAGGAGGAGGAGGAGGAGGAGGAGGAGGAGGAGGAGGAGAAGGAGGAGGAGGAGGAGGAGGAGGAGGAGGAGGAGGAGGAGGAGGAGGAAGAGAAGGAGGAAGGAGTGGCTGGGGCAGCCACGTCGCCGAGACGGGGTGCGGGGAGCGAGGCGCCGGGCGCCGGCGACGCGGCCGGGGAGGCGGGGCCCACGCCCCTCGCGGCGAGCGCCCTGCACCGCGGCGTCTCCCGCTCCTGTGGGAGCGGTCGGCAGAGCAGCGGAGCCCCTCTATCGGCGGCGGAGGCGGGGGACGGGGAGGAGGAGGAGGAGGAGGAGGAGGAGGAGGAGGAGGAGGAGGAGGAGGAGGAGGAGAGGAGGAGGAGGAGGACGGGAGGAGGAGGAGGAGAGGAGGAGGGGAGGAGGAGGAGGAGGAAGGAGGAGGAGGAGGAGGAGGAGGAGGCGGAGGAGGAGGAGGAGGAGGAGGAGGAGGAGGAGGGGGAGGAGGAGGGGGAGGGGGAGGAGGAGGAGGAGGAGGAGGCGGAGGAGGAGGAGGAGGAGGAGGAGGGAGGAGGAGGAGGAGGAGGAGGAGGAGGGGAGGCTCGGGGGGGAGGAGGCAGAGGGAGGAGGCTTTCGGGAGAGTGTGTCTGTCTTGCCCTCGGGACCATAGCCCATAGCGCGCGTTATGCCCCCTCCCCCCCTCCCCCCCCCTCCATAACGTAACGCTCCCCCCCTCACTGCGTCCCGGCACTGCCGCAGTGCGTCCGGCACCACAGTCTGGGGGGGGGGGGGGGGGGGCGCAACGTTATGTCCTCTCCCGTCCCCCCCTCCCCCTACCCCCCCCACACCGCCCATGATCGACGCGATTCCCCTCCCCCTACCCCCCCCACACCGCCCATGATCGACGCGATTCTTTTTTATTTATTTGTTTTTAACGCGCTCTTTTTGCGTGGCGTCTCAGAAGCCCTGGCGCCTTCCGAGAAGTTGTGTGTGTGTGTGTATTCGGGGAAGGCTTAGGACACTTCTCAGAAGACCAGAGACCTTGCGAGCATTCTGGGGAGGCCCGTTCTTTCTCAATTCCCCCCTTGGCTCTCCGCCAACTTTGATTCCTGCGTGCTGGGGGTCGAAGGTGGCCCAGCACTGGTTCCGGTGAGCAAGAAGGGGGGAAGAGGTTCCATGTGTTGGGTTCGACCAGATTTTTAATTTTGTTTGCCTCTGGGTGCCATTTTCGGCCCCCTGGACCGTCAAGAACTTCTAAAATTGCGCCAGATGGACCCTGGAAGATTTTGAAACGGTTTGACCTCATCCATCCTCCCCTCCTGACCGTTTTGTTGGGTCCCAACCAGCTCAGACCCCCTTGCCGCCTCCAAATCGAGGACAGCTCTTTCTGCCCGTTTGCACAGTGCCGCCTCCACTGCTCCAGGCAATGCGGCCACCACTTATTCCGGACGCCAGCCTGCTAAGGCTGTGACGTTGGTGGCGAACGCGCCAGGCCCATTGAGCTTGGACTCCATGCTAGTGCTAGAGTGTCCCGAGCCTTGCGCGTGCGGCACATGTACTGCATGGAGGTCGGCCACCCACAAAATGTATCAGTCTGTGTCGGGGGCGAATGGGTCTGCGCGGGGAGGGGGGGATTCCCGGCGGACGTTCAACGATCTCATGGGCTACAGCGCTTTGCGGGTCCCCTGGCGTCTCTGGGAGTCCTCGGGTACGGATCGTGCAATCTTTGTATCGTTGTGTGCTGAAGGCACGGATGAGGAGGAGGAGGAGGTGGAGGAGGAGGAGGAGGAGGAGGAGGGGCGGCTGATAGTTGGGTGGATGCCTCCGTGGTTCCTGTGGACGTCTATGCTCTAGGCGGCAAGGCGAGGCTGGCCTGCCCGAGCGTACGCGAGCGATCGGCTGTACCGTTTGCAGCTTCTCTTCACGCTCGAGCGTTATCCCATGCTGCGCTGAACCCCCTGGCAGCGCCTTCGGCGCCGCCCCTGGCACGCTCCGCGCGCCAAGGAAGGGGGCCCAGCGCCGATTCAAGAAATCCGCGCGGAGCTCCGTCGGTTTAAAGCAACTATTTTACTCATCTAGGGACGGTGCGGGTGGCGGCACTTCGATTGATGTTAGCACTGGCGGGGCGGAAGGACGGCGACCTGGTCTGAGAGAAGACGCGAGAAGTTCTTGCCACGTTCGAGAACTAGCAGACTTGCAACAATTTCGGCTACCCCCGCCTGTGCATAGCAGAGATTGGATCTCGGCGTCGGTTGTGATTCCCCTCACTTGCGTCTGAGGGTTATTTCTGTTGCATCCGTGGTGCTCCTGCGGAGGGGTGGGTCGCGTCGGGAAGGAATCGGAGATGAGGGCGGACGCGTACTGCGTTTCTGGTTCTCTGAGGGAGCGGGGAGGCGGGGCGGGGGGCGTTTTCTCTCCTGTGTCTCGTCCTCCCTTCTCCTCCCCGATGCTCCTCGGACCCCCCTCCCCAGAGAAGGATAGTTCCAACGAGCGCGGCTGCGTGACACGTTTGCTGGCGCGGCTCTTCACTCATCCTCGAATCTCGCGCCGCTGCCCTCTCGTTTTTGCATCCGACTGCCGATCTACAGGATGAGCAGCTTCCCAGGCGAGGTGGGGGGGTGGATGGAGGAGGGATGGAGGAAAGGAGGAGAGGGGGGGGGAAGGGGAGGGAGGGGGATGAGGGATAACGAACACATGAAAGGAGGAGGGATGAATAAATGATGAGGGGATGAGGGAGGGATTAGAAACACGCGAAACACAGCGGGAAAAAGGAACGGAGGGATTAGGGAAAGGAGGATGAGGGAATGAGGGATGAGGGATGATGGACATATGAGGGATAAATCATTGATGGGGGAGGAGCGTAGGGAAGGACGAGGGGAGGGAGCAGGGCTGAGGGAGGGACAGAGGAGAAGAGGCGAGATCGAGTAGGGGGAGGGAGGCAGCTGGAGGGAGATCCGCAGCCCGGAGGCGGGCGCGGAGCGGACGGGACCCTCCTGCCGCCGAAGCCACCGGCGACGATGGCGTCCGCGCAGGGCACTCCTCCCCCGCCTGCGCCGCGCGCAGGCCGCACGCTCCGCCCTGCCCGTCGCGCGGGCGGCCGGGCTGCTGCGCTTCCGCCGGCCTCGGCGGCCCCGCGGGCCCCTCCTGGGCGGCCTCCGCGCCGCCGCCCGCGTCGGCGGCCCGAGCCCGCCCCGCGCGCCCCGGGCACTTCGCCGCGGCCCCGCGGGCCCCCCGCCGAGCGCCCGCCGCGCGCCCCGCCCCGCACGGGCCCGGCGGCCGCCGCGGGGGCGGACGGCCCACTGTGCCACTGGGGGGGGAGGCACTGCGCGGCCCACGTCCTCGGCGAGGCCGCCGGGGCGGCTGCGCGCGATGCCCGCAGGTTGCGCCGCCCGGGGGCCTGCTCCACGCGCGAGAGCGGGTCGCCTCTGCCGCGCCGCGGCGGCAGGCGTGCTGCCCGCCCCGTGGGCACGCGAGCGGGCTGTGGGCCAGGGCCCTGCGCCGCGCGCTGGCGACGCCCTCACGCGCAGCTCTGCCGCGCACGTGGTGCCCGCTCCCCTGGGCTCCACACTGTGTCAGCTGGCTGAAGACGGCCATGTCCCCGCCGCTGGTTAGGCTCGGGGGGAGATGCGTCGACCCCCAATGGCCCACTCATGGCACAGAGGGGCCCGATATCCCTTCCCGCCCAGGAACGTGAGGACTCGCCATCGGAGGCCCACCACGGATCCATCGGCGATGCATCGCCGATTCCAGGTCGATGCTCGCCCCTCTGAGCCGGCCGTTCCCCCGTCGCCCTCTTGCCTGCGCCGATCTCCCTCGTCTCCCTGGGTGCGCCCACTGCGTGCCCCGCCCGCCCGCAGATGTTCTCCATCAACGTCGCGGTGCGCTTCCGGCCTGCGCGGCCAGACTGCTCGGCGACATTGGGGGGGGGCGTCCGCTCTATTCCAGCCCCCCCTGGTCTCTCATCCCGCCTTCCAGTCCTTTCTGGAGGCGTCCGTGCGCGGTTCCCCCGCTTCCTCTCTTTTTTATTTTCTGTTTGCTAGTTGTCTCTTTCTCTTTCCCTTTCTCTCTCTCTCTCTCTCTCCCCCTTTGTCTCCATAGTTTGTGTATATAAATATATATGTAGATAAACATGTAAGTATGTATAGGAGCATGCTGGGGGACGTACCCAGACCAGCGCCCAGGGTTGGCATGAGGGCTCCAGGGGGCCCAAAGGGAGCCTTTAATGGCTCCAGGACGGCTCCAGAGGCGCCCTGGAGCCCTATAAGGCTCCCGGGCGCGGCTTCGAGGTCTCCTAGACGGCTCCAGAGGCCGCCAGGACCGGCTCGAGACCGCCGAAGACGCCCATCGAGCGATCGAAGACGCTCCAAGATGGCTTCAAGAAGAGTCACGAGCCCTCCATGATTCCCCCCCAAAAAGCCCCAAGAGGTAAACATCGTCCCATTCCCGTCGGGAAACGTACATGTTCAGTGTATACAGCTTCCAGTTTCCCAAGAGTCCAAGACAGTCAAAGAGGCCCCCCAAACCGCCACAAGACGGCCCAAGGGTCCGTCAAGAGAATCCGGACGCGGCCCGAGGGCGCCTCAAAATAGCCCAGGAGCCTCGGAGCCGCCCAAGACGGCCCAAGACAGCCCCAAGGAGCCCAGGAGCGGCCCAGGTGGCTCCAGGACGGCCTTCAACATCCGAAGAAGATGGCCCCCAAGTGCGCCCACAAAGCGCACGAGATGCCCTCAAGACACTGGGCGAAGTTGGAGGCTTCTGGATCTCTCTGGAGCCGTGTTCGAGGTCATTGTGGACGGTTTTGGGCTATCTTGAGGCCACTGGAGGCCGTTTTCCGAAATCCGCCAGCGCAGTTTCAAAGTGCAGCGCGTACCCGATTATTAAATTTTACCACCAACAAACGAGAAGTCACGCGGGAACACGTGCCAAGCACCCGGAGGCACGAGACGCACCCCGGAGAAACCGGGACTTCGGGGCCCAGGCCCCTGAATCCGCCACCCTTCTCGGAGGCACGGATTCGAGTACCTTGAGATCCTGTGGAGTCCTCCGCCCTCAGTCCTGGATGACTGAGTTTTTACGAGGCGCCCCAAGAGGGTCCAAGATGCCCACCAAGGGATGGCCCGAGAGTCCGACATCATTGATTCTCGTGTGCGTTTTCGAAAAAAGTAGTGTTCTGGCCTCTTCTGGCTTCCTGCGCTCCAAGGAGGCCCCAGAGGGGCAACACGAACCGGCATCCCGAGCTCTCCGCCGGACGACCTCCGAGACAGCCTGCTGGCTCCCAAGCAGCCCCCCCGGATGTCCAAGGAGGCTTTCAAGAGGCCCAAGCCAAGCCCCGGAGGCTCCCGATTGTCCCCAAAGCCGCTCCAAAACCGCCTCCAAGAGGCGTCCGAGAGGCCTCCCAGGAGATCCCCACTGCCAGATGTCGCTGACCAGCAACCAAGGCACGGTGGCGAAATGGGCCGAAGGCCACTAGAGGCCGCAGGGGGTTGTCTTGGAGTTGTATTGGCCGTCTTGTGGGCATCTTTGCTGGTCTTGTGGCCGTCAAGGGCGCTGGAAGAGAGCTGATAAGGATGCACGCAGGTGTATAATAGACGGAGGGGGACTGCCGTCAGATATCAATAGAAGCCCAGCCATACAAGATTGGCACTACAACTCGCCACTGTTTATTTGGCAGGAGACGCTGGCCGTAATGTCATACCTCGTCCTGCAGAGGGCTGTGCGTACTGTGATGAACTGTCACTTAACGATGTGAACTTCCAAGTGGTTGTAATTGGAATGACACTTGCACGTTCACACGTACAATGGGGACGCGCATCAAGACACCATGATTGTATCGTATCTTGAGTTTCTTCGGTGCGCGCGCTGCGTGGTGATTTCCCGCAGGTTTCAAGAAGCTGTGGCATCGGAGGTGCATTAGATTTCTCCCCAGTTGCACCCCGCGCGCGGTTTTTCAGAGTTGGATTTTTCGCGAGGCTTTCTTGCAGCCGCGTCCGCACTGCATGCGCATGCAAGTGTGCGCTGGCCGAAATCTCTGTCGACTTGAGCCAGACTGGGGATGCCGGGGCCCCGGTTTGGGGGGAACGCGCCGTTTTTTCGGCCAGATCCCGGGCCCCTCCGACGCCCCGAAGGGCCTCAGACCCTCGCCTTCCCCGCTCGCGCCTGTGCGAGCAGCGCCGACGAAGAGAGCTTGAGCCCGCGCGCAGACGCAGGCGCGGCCCGACGCGCTGCAGCGCACAGTGGTCTGCCGTGCGCGTGTGCACGTCGAGCCCCCGGCAGTGGCGGGCCGAGATGCCCGGGGGCAGGCTGCGGAGGGCGAGAAGGTCACGCTGCCGCTCCACCAGAAGGCGCCTCCCGCTGGACGTCTCTGCGGAGGATCGCTCCCACGGGCGATGCTGCAGTCAAAAGCGGCGTTAAGGATGGGCCTTGTTCGCAAGGGCCTGGAACAGGGCAGAGTTAGTTGGCCGACCGTGGCTAAAAGGAGAACGTTATGATCTGGGGTCGGTGTTCCGAAGACTGCTCGAAATTTGAAAAATCATTTTGAACAAGCAGATTTTTATGCCGAGCATTACCATTCAGAGTGCGCTGTTTAAAGTTCCAGGCTCCGCCGCCTCCGCCTCCGCCGCCTCCGCCGCCTCCGCCTCCGCCGCCTCCTCCGCCTCCGCCGCCTCCGTCTTCGCCGCCTCCGCCTTCGCCAACTCCGTCTCCGCCTCCGCCTTCGCCTCCTTTTCCCCTCCTCCTCCTCCTCCTCCTCCTCCTCCTCCTTCTGATCCCTCGGGTCTGGGCATCCCTAGCGTAGCGCGTGCTCGGCCCGTGCGGGAACTTTTGTCTTCAGCCATCATCCCGCATAGGCTTCTTGCGCCCCGCTCACCAGGACCAGTCGGTGAACCGTCGGGACCCACATGCAGAAAGCAAGCATTGGCAAAAGGGCGAGCACACGGGAGCACGAGAAAACATGTGGATGTTCAAGTTCAATGTGCCATGGTTGGCGTGTAACTCGTGTAGGGCATGCAGAGCATAAAGCGCATGCTCTGCGTTGGCCTCCTCCCACAATATATGTCTCAGATACCGGTGGGCAAACACGGACGTCAGTGAAGTTGATGTCCAGGAGCCAGCAACATGAAGAGGCGTCCCATGAGTTTGCCACCGTGCCGAGCATTTGAAATTTCGGGGTCAGCCATTCGCGCAGGGACCGGTTTTTCACTGTCTCGAGCCAGGGCCACCATGACACACCACAGGTACCCGAAAGCTTCAGGAGCGTAATCTCCACTGTCTCCAGGTGCTAGCGGCATGTTGCCTCAGAATCGTTCGGGGTCAGGGCCAGTGGCTGACGTGGACAGATCAGGCCAGGATTGGGCAGACTTGGCGCCGCCATGAGGCCGTGCCCGTGCTGCCGCAATGGTGCGGTCGGCTCTAGCTCTCGCTTCCAGCCTGCAGAAGCTCGAAGCTCAGGCGAGGTGCCGAAAACGCCCTGAGCAGAGAAGGCGCTTCGGATGCGCGGGACGTTGGCAGTGTACGCCCCCGACCATTTGAGCGCATGAGGGCGGGACTGGGGGCTGAAAGCAGGCTTGAGAAGCGCAGGGGAAAGGAGGGGGCGGGAGGACGTCAGCCGAAGACTGAATGGGCTCGAGGAGAGCACCCACGGCGTGCCGCACGTGCTGCTCGGTGACGGGCCGTGACACTGGCCGCGGGTCTGGGGGCCTCCAACGCTCCGCCAGTGGGGAAGGGCCCACACGCACACGCACCCCCACACACACATACACACACACACACGCACACCCAGTTTGGTCAGAAAGCTTGCGAACCGCAAGCAGCTGCCCAGTTAAAACGCACACTTCTTGGCATCGTGGCAACGCGCGCAGCGACGCGGCCGAGTCAGTCGGAGGAGCGCCCGGGTGTGCCTCCGAGGCCACACAAGATGCCGGCTCACGTAGCCCCGCGAGACACACACACACACACACCTACACACATACGCACGCACACAGACACACACAAAGACACGCACACACACAATCTCACACACACACACACACACACGCATTCACGCATACACACACACACGCACTCACGCACACACGCGTGCGCCTGGCCTCTGCAAGATGACACATTTGTGCATTCCTGGCAGCGGTTGGGCAGATGCGGCCAGATTTGTTGAGACGGCTATGAGGTGCTATACTGTTATGCGCATGTGCTTAGTTTTTGTTGTGCAGTCGTTTGCCAGCTGTTTTGCTTCTGCGTTCGCGTATGTTCGCGCCAGGTGCAGCTCATGCGAGAACGCTTGGGCTGCAGCAGCAAGGACGTCTTCGGGGGAGAAGGGGAGCTTGCGGCCATCCATTAGAACCATTGCTCTCACTTGCCTCAGTCTCGTTGCCTTAGTATCAGCCTCTCTCTCTCTCTCTCCCTCTTTCTCTGATGTCTCCCTTCCTACCCTCTGCGCTTGCAATTGCACAGGCCGTGTGAATTGGATACGTAGCTGCTCTCTCAAGCCCCCAAAGCGAGTCGTGGGCTAGTGCGCGGTCAAGAGTCTGGAGAGATTCGCTACCTCAAGCGTTCAAGGCTGTTCAGCGGCTCTTACTCCGCTGCAGTCACGACGCTGAGATGAGAAAGAGCGCGTTCTGTGGTCGCTTGGAGGAGGGGGGGTTGGAACCGGACCCCCCCCCCGCTGGATGGAGGGGGAGGGGTTCGTCCCCCCCCCCTCCCTCCCGTGACGGGGGCGTGGGGTTCAAATCCCCCCCCTGCTTCCCCTCTCCTCGAGCCGGCGCCTGCGTCGGCGGCGGCTGGCGGCGGCGGCGGAGACGACCATTTGCATTTCTGCGCTTGCGCCGGCCAGCGCCTGCGGCGGCGGGCGGCGGTGGCGGGGAGCGTCGACGAGGACGACCGTGGTGGTGGTGGTGGTAGCGGTGGTGGTAGTTGTGTTGGTGGTGGTGTGGTGGTTTGTTGTGGTGGTGGTGGTGGTTGTGGCGGTTGGTGGTGGTGGTGGTGGTTTGGTGGTTTGGTGGTGGTGTGGTAGTGGTTTGTGGTGGTGGTGGTGGGTTGTGGTGGTGGTGGTGGTGTGGTGGTGGTGGTGGTTTGTGGTGGTGGTGGTGGGTTGTGGTTGTGGCGGTGGTTTGTGGAGGTGGTGCTGGTGGTTTGTTGTGGTGGTGGTGGTGGTGTGGTGGTTTGTGGTGGTGGTGGTGATGGTGGTTGTGGTGGTGGCGGTGGTGGTGGTTGTGGCGGGTGGTGGTGGTGTGGTAGATTGTGGTGGTGGTGGTAGTGGTGGTGGGTTTTTGTGGTGGTGGTGATGGTGAGTTGTGGTGGTGGTGGCTGTGGTGGTGTGATGGGGGTTTGTGGTGGTGGTGGTGGTGGTTCGTGGTGGTGGTAGTGGTGGTGGTGTTGTGGTTTTTGGTGGTGGTGGTGGGTTGTGCTGCTGGTAGTGGTTGTGGCGCTGGTGGTGGTGGTGGTGTGGTAGATTGTGGCGGTGGTGGTAGTGGTGGTGGGTTTTTTTGTGGTGGTGGTGATGGTGGTGGTGGTGGTGGTGAGTTGTGGTGGTGGTTGTTGTGTGGTGGTGGCTGTGTGTGGTGGTGGTGGTTGTGTGGTGCTGTTGGTGGTGGTGGTGGTGGGTTGAGGCGGTGGTGGTGGTGGTAGTGGTGGTCATCGTCGCTGCGTCCCCGCCGTCGCCGGCGCCAGCGCCGGCGCTGCTGGCCGGCGCGGCGCCAGCGCGGGCGCCGGCGCCAGGGGGGGGGATGGACCCCCCCCGCTGGCGCCAGGGGGGGGCGTTTGAACCCCCCCCCTTTTGAACCCCCCCCCCACCCCCTTTAGAGGCTTCCTCTTGTCATCGTCGCTGCGTCGCCGCCGTGGGCGCTGCTGGCTGGCGGCCGCCAGCGCCGGCGCCAGCGCCGGCGGCGCTGAGGGGGGGGATTTTGAACATCCCCCTTGGAGGGGGGGGGGTTGAACCCCCTCCCAGCGAGACCCCACCCCCGGTTTGAAACACCCGCCAAATGTTCCCAAGGCGATCCTCCTCCTCCTCCTCCTCCCTCCTCCTCCTCCTCCTCCTTCCCCTCCTCCTCCTCCTCCTCCTCCTCCTCCTCCTCCTCCCCCTCCTCCTCCTCGTCCTCCTCCTCCTCCCTCATCCTCCTCCTCTCCTCCGCCTCCAATGGGCACTGTCGTTGGACCCTTCTTCCCCTCCTCCTCCTCCTCCTCCTCCTCCTCCTCCCCTCCTCCTCCTCCTCCTCCTCCTCTTCCTCCTCCTCCTCCTCCGTCCTCCTCCTCCTCCTCCTCCTCCTCCTCCTCCTCCTCCTCCTCCTCCTCCTCCCTCCTCCCTCCCTCCCTCCCTCCCTCCCTCCCTCCCTCCCCCCTCCTCCTCTCCTCCTCCTCTCTCCTTCTCCTCCTCTCTTGCTCATCCCCTCTCTTCCGATCATTCCTCCAGTGGGCACTGTCCTGGGACTCTTTCTCCTCCTCCTCTTCCTCCTCCTCCTCTTCTCTCCTCCTCCTCCTCCTCCTCCTCCTCCTCCTCCTCCCTCCTCCCTCCTCCTCCTCCTCCTCCGCGCGCGCTGCGCAGTGGCCTCGGCCGGCGCGGCGCGCAATCGGTTATGGCGCGGGGCGCCCGCTCGCCATGGCCGCTGAGGGCCCTCCTCGCGGCAGCGGCGGCGCCCGCCGCCGCCGACGCGGCGGCGGACGCCGCCCGCCTGGGCACCTTGCGCGAGCAGCTGCTGGCCGTGGCCGAGGACGCCAGCAGGGCCGCGGCGATGCTGAGGCCTCGGAGGGGAAAGCTCCGCTCCTCCTCCGCCTCCTCCGCCTCCGTCTCCTCCGCCTCCTCCTTTGCCTCTTCCTCCGCCTCCTCCGCCTCCGTCGCCTCCTCCTCTTGCCCCTCTCCCGTACCCATTGTGGCTCAAGGTGTTTGCATCCGCGGAGACAGTGGATACTTGTTAAGTTGTCCGCGGCCAGCGTTTATATTCCAGTGAGCCCTTGCCAGAGTAAGATCCGACTCCCGTTGGCGGCCTGGCTGGTAAACGGGGGCGTGCCCCGTTCTGGTTAGTCTCATGGGTGAACGTGCTCGCAGCGACGGTGCCCACGTTCCCAGAGCCAAGAAGAAGCCCAAAGGTCGCACGAAACGTGCTCCAGATGCTCCTCGTGCTGTGGCACATCGACTGGTTGGCGACGAATAGCGTCCCAGTCCCGAGCCCGCTGGCGCTGGCAGTTGTAACTCTGGTTCCCACGGCAAGAAGACCGCCCCGTCGATGATGACGACGACACGTCCGATGATGGGAAACGACGCGTATTTCGGCCAGCTTGTTCGCACCCATGTCGCCGAGCAGCTCAAGTCCACCCGCCAGTCCTTCTTCGAGGGCGTTTCCAGCGTTGTTTCCACCACTGGCGGGGAAAAGGTCGCCAGTCTCGCCGCCCTCGACGAGCAAGCTGTTCGTGATATTCCTCGCGTGGCAGAGGATGCAGCCAAACAGTTCAATGCCACTTCACGGTTCTGTCCAACGGGTCAAGTAGACTGGCATTTCGCAGAGTTGTCCAGGCATTGGATGCCCGACGGCTCGGTCCTGGTCAGTGAAAACGCATCCAAACATACGCAACACATGGCCCACTGCGCCACCTCCGCATCGTCGCGGACAAGAACCCCAAGCATACGTATCAACATGGATGCGCAAGCGAACAAGCTCAATGGGCCCCGCAAAGACATGGTTCCTCGATCGTTACCGCGGCTATGGCATAGCAGGTTGGGTCGCCGTCGCCCAACTCATCCCCTCCCCTAGCAATGCGAGGACAGACAGACCTGCGTTGGGCCAACTACCTCATCGCCGAGCTGCAGCTCGCTGGCCAGCGCATCGAGCAGCCGGCGCAATCAATCGCTGCCCCATCCCCAAGTTGCAGAGCGGTGTGTTTAGCGCGTTGAAGACGAAAGCTCCAGTTGCGCCATTCAGCCCCAGGAACACTGGGGGACTCTTTCAATGCAAGGGCGCCGAGACGCAGAATATGTTGAACTGCCTCAAGCGCGCCAATTTCAAAGTGGGGCGGCGGCGCTGCAGGAGCTCCGCCGAGACAGGAGCCAACCCAGTGACTTCCTGCGCGCGGTCCAGCGTGGACTGCGGGCCTTCTTCATATTGCGACTGCTCCATCATGGGAGGGGGGGCGGGGGGGGGGGGCTTTGCTGCCGCCCCCCCCTCCCCCCCCCTCTGATTTGTGCAGTGCCGACGAGGCGATAGTTGCGCGTTGCGCGTGGCCATGCAGACCGGCAGACACCTGGCCAGCCTGTGGACTCCCCATGCCCGCGGGCTGAATCTCAAACAAGCGTTCATGGCCTCGCGGAAGGCGCGCGCTGGCATCGCGCGTTCGGCGCGCGCCGACTCCGCCGACCGTCGCCCGACACGGTGCATTCGGTCTCTCCAACTCCGCCCCCCTTCTTTGCATTCTGGTTCTTCTTCTTCCCAGTCGCCCCCCGGAGCGCGCGAAGGTTGGCCGCGGCGGCCGCCGCGCCCGCGCTCTGATTTGGAAGTGGCTGGCCGCGCGGATGACCGAGGGCCCCAGCGGGGGCGCTGGGCGTCATGTCAGACTGACTCACGCATGTAATTACAGTGTCAGGCTGGGTCTAGCTCGCCGAGCTGCGTGATCTGCGACGCAACCGCCTCGATCGCGGTTATCAGCGCAACAGAGGCCGCGGCAATCGGTCGAACGCGCGATCGCGCTGCGCGGTTGCCTTTTTTGAAGCAGCGGCATCGTGGCATGGGCCGGCGGCGACGCGTGCTTCGGCGCATCTTCGAGCCCCCGGAGTTTCGGCGCTCTCCACAGCGCGGCGCAGCAGCTCGACAACGCGGACTGGTTCCCCCTGAGGCAGGTCAGGATTCGCAAAAGGGCCGTGCGAGAGGTGGCTCGAGACGCGCGTGATCGACTGTTTACCAATTCTCTTAAGTCCCCACACATTAAAATCACCATTGCGCGGGCGGTTGCTCGCGCAGCTTGGCGGGGCGATGCGGGCGCAGCAACGGGGTATGTCGACGGGCGCCCGATTGCAGCGGATTGCCCCAGCATTGTTCATGGCCTTGTTCAATTTCGCCCCCGCCCCCCCCTCCCCTGCTGACATTTTAGCAACGGCCGGGCGCAATTCAGCGGGGGGGCGCTGGGCGCCATCGAATTCATTTCGAATCCCAGGCGCTGCGATCCAAGTTCACGACGCGCGCGAAGAACCGAAGTCGAGCGCGCGCGCAGGGCGGCGATCCGGCCCCTCCCGCCCGCCGAATGGCCGCGCGCGCGGCCGAGGGGCCCGGCGCCGACAGCGCGCGCCTACAACGCGATTGGCACGCACGGCGCCCGCGTCGAATATTAGGCCCTAGTTTTCGCGAAGATGGGCGGCGGCCTTGGCGAAGCGAAGAGGCGCGACGCTGCCCGCGCGAGGCCCCGCGATTTCTCCGCTGCCCCCCCGCCCCCAGAGCTCCTCTCCGCAGCGTCGCGCGCGCGACGAAGCAACCGGCGCCGGGCAAGGACGCGATCGCTCGCGCAGCGTGGGCGGCCGCGCGGCCTCGCCAAAGGGCCTGGATGCTTTGGGGGACTCGTCGACGTGGATCCCGCGGGGGCAAGTGCTTTTTCAGCGGCTCCGTTGGCGCGCTGCAGGTCTGGCCCCCTGGAGGATGCGATAACAGCGAACCGCGTGAATCTGGGCGCGCAGGATCTCCCCCTAATGTGAGAGCATTGTTGCTACGCGGCGCTCGCCTGGAGATCATTGCTCCGCGCGTCAACTCGCAGTTCAGCGGGCTGCTTCTTCGATGGGCGCCACAGTCGCAGAAGTTTCGCTCCCGGGGGGAACTTTGGCACCCGCTGTCTCGAGCTGGCCACCCTCGCGCGCGCGTGCTGTAGTTTCCCGACTGCCGGCGTCGACGCGCCAGGACATATGGCGCTGGATGCCCGCGCGGCCTTCCCCGGCCTCTCCCAAGCATCCATGCGCATGGCCTTCAGTGCAACGCAGGCACCTCCCGCTTTCGTGGCGATGCTCGACAAGCTGCGAGCCGCTCTGCATGCGGCTGGCATGGCGGATGGCACCCCGCAACATGCATGGTGGATCGCGTCTGGCATCATTTGCGGGTGCTCGCTGGGTGGATCTATTGATGCATCAGTGGCCGCCTGCTTCCTTCAAGACCCCGTGCTAGGCTTGAGGTCCCCCAGCTGATCATTGAAGCGCACTTCCTGACGCTCCACCAAATGTTGCGCGGACCTGTCTAAGCCATGGATATCAGGGGACCGGGGGTGGGGGGGAAGGAGGCTACGCAGTGCTGGCCGAACTGGTCGTCGACGGCACGTCCGTCTTGCCGGCCCTGCCCGTGGATCTTGTTCAACCACTATCGGAGAACACGGTGGCCGAACATTTCTGGCGGCTGTGGTTCGACCTCGTCGGATCACAGCATGGCCGCACCGATCAGATCGACGACATATTGTGGCGCGGCACCAGCGACATGAGAGCCCACACCACGACGAAGGGGAGCATCGGCTGAGATCGCATCCTGGGCACCATGGGCGGCAAGCTCAGCTACGACCAAATCGCGATCAGTTTAGCGAGGAGAAACACAAGAAGGCCGTACCAAACTTACAACATTGCTGCTCCCTTATGTTAGTGGAATGGTAGGCGTGGAGACAGCTGGGCATGCTATGTGGGCGCTGCTACTTGCACTAAGTTCGTTGACGGAATAGCGATGTACCTTGATGGCTAGCTCCGTCCAGTCGACGACCACCCCTGTTTATTTTATGAGGGGAACGGTCTGCAGAAGTCCTTATCTTGCCTCTGTCGGCGATTGGAATGATTCGGTATAGCCAGTCCGTTGTGATTCGGGGGTTTTCCGGGTCATTTGTAGCTATGAAGCCACCGAAACAATACCGACCCGCTTGAGCACCAGACTCGAACAGGGGAGGTTATCAGTGAGTGCGTGGCGCGGGGGGGCGCTCTCTCCGTCTCTCTTCAGCCGCCTTTTGCGGCTCAGTGGTGGCTGCCCTCCACACCCGCTTTATACGCGCTTTGCATCTTCCGCTCTACACCTCGCGAGAGAAAACTATATCATCTTCCGCTTTACGTTTCTAGTGTTTGCGCCGCCTTCGCCTTCCCAATATTTCTCTTCGCTTATCGCCTGACCTCCTCCTCCTCCTGCCCGGTATTTCTCTCGGCGAGATTCCTGGTCGTACGATCCGAATGCGTTGCCCGCTGTAGCGGTATCGGTTCTTTCTTGCTCCCCCCCCTCCCCACAGGCCGGGCCCGCCCAGCGAGGAGCCTCCCAGCCACGAGGCCCCGCAGGGGCGCCTCGTCCTAGGTCGGGCGAAAGTTGGGGGCAACGCTTGGGCCGGCCATGCGTGAGAGTGCCGGCGGCGAGCGAGGGGGTAAGTGAGAAGGAAAAGGCCATGTCAGAAGGCAGCGAGGCTTCTCGGAAGCCTTCTGGCAGTCTGAGGTTTTCAACAACTTGTCGGAAGGGTGTGGGACTTTCGAGCTCTCGGAGAAAGCCCGCCCCCCCTCACTTCCCCCAAGGGCTCGCCGTCAAGAGTGACACTTGGCAATAGTAAGGTCGACTTTTTGGGTGCGGGCCCATAGGAATCCCCCAGGCAGTGGTCTGCGCGCGCAGATTTGCTCCCCTCCCCGCGGCCCCCCAAAGCTGCGGAAGGCCTCTGGGTCCAGGACCCGTTTCTCTCGGGATTCGTTTTTCCCGTGGTAAGATTGGTTTCGGCCTCGCTGCCAGGACGGTTTCATCGATGCATGGGCGCGCCTGGTGTTGGAGAATCCGTGTCGCGACGGGAGGCGGCGCAATCTTTCAAGAAGCCAGAGAAGCTCCTGAGACGCCTCCTGGCTATTCTAAGAAGGCTTCCGCCCTTTCGGGGAGCACCCCGCCTTCTAGGAGGCCACCTTCATCGCGCCACCCCGTGCGCGCCGCCAGCGGTCGTCGTCGCGAGAGGGGTGGATCTTCAGAGGTTGCAGGGGTGCCCGTGGGCGTTTTAAGGCTTCTGGGACCTTGCCCCGGCAGCCGTTCTCCAGGGTCCCTTGCACGTACGTCTCGCACGACACTTGATGACGTCGAAATATGTGTTTGTGATTGGTGGACCTCCGTTTCAGCCTCCTCCTCTCATTATCCGTAAGGGCTTCGCCCCCTGCCGCCGGCCACCTCTCTCAGAGAATGGACCATGGAAGAGCGAAATCATGAGGCTTTGGCTTCGCCGTGAAGCAGTGTCGGGACCTGTTTGTTTTTCGACCCTGACCCTACGGATTTGCGTGAGGGGTGCCACCGGATTTCAGAAATGTGGCAAATCCCATGTGTTTTTGGACCCTGACCCTACGGATCTGCGTGACGGGTGCCGCCGAATTTCAGAAATGTAGCAAATCCTATGTGTTTTGGACCCTGACCCTGCCGATCTGCGTGAGGTGTGCCGCCGAATTTCAGAAATGTGGCAAATCCTTTCTGTGTTTTTGGACACTACCCTGCCGATCTGCGTGAGGGGCGCCACCGAATTCAAAAATGCCGCAAATCCCATGTGTTTTTGGACCCTGACCCGCCGATCTGCGTGAGGGGTGCCACCGAATTTCAGAAATGTAGCAAATCCCTTGTGTTTTTGGACCCTGACCCCGCCGATCTGTGTGAGGGGTGCTACCGAATTTCAGAAATGTAGCAAATCCCGTGTGTTTTTGGACCCTGACCCTACGGATCTGCATGAGGGGTGCCGCCGAATTTCAGAAATGTTGCAAATCCTTTATGTTTTTGGACCCTGACCCCGCCGATCTGCGGGAGGGGCGCAATTGTTTTTTTTCTAAGTTGTATATATATATATATATATATATATATATATGTTTGCACCCTGACCCCGCCGACTTGCATCAGGGGTGCCACCGAATTTCAGAAATGTAGCAAATCCCTTGTGTTTTTGGACCCTGACCCCGCCGATCTGCGTGAGGGGTGCCACCGAATTTCAGAAATGTTGCACATCCCATGTGTTTTTGGACCCTGACCCCGCCGATCTGCGGGAGGGGCGCCATTGAATGTTTAAACAGTTTCAAATATACATATCTATATACACATTATATATGCGTGTTTTTGGACCCTGACCCCGCCGATCTGCATGAGGGGTGCCACCGAAGTTTAGTAATGTGGCAAATCCCGTGTGTTTTTGGACCCTGACCCCGCCGATCTGCGTGAGGGGTGCCACCGAATTTCAGAAATGTCGCAAATCCTTTGTGTTTTTGGACCTTGAACCCGCCGATCGTGTGCGGGGTGTTAATTTTATCCACCCCAGCAATTCAGATAATACGATTTGGGCGTGGTATACATGTCCGTTTTGGGCCTCCCCCCCCTCGCGCGGTCGGTCCATCAACAAGGAACTGTAAGCAGCAAGAAGTCAACAAGGAACAGTAAGCAGCAAGAAGCAGAACTGTAACAATGGAAACTGGAAGCTGCAACTGGTACAGGAAACTGCGAATCTCCGGCCTACAGCCTGGTGGCCCCACGAGGGGGCCAGCGGATCTTCCTCACCAAGCAGCGCTTTGGGATGGTATTTCCCATCTTTGAGACATTGCCATTCGGTACGGTCGAAGGCCAGCACCAGTTCCGTTCCTGTTTAGTTTGAACAGGCCACACATTGAAAAGGAGCCGCCCACATTCCGCGAAGCTCTTGCAATGTTTGAACGGTGCGTGTCGCTAAGGCAAAAACCACGTTTTGAAAAGGAGCCGCCCTCAATCCATGAAACTCTTGCATATGTTTAGAGCGAGCGTGCGCGGCGCTAAGGCGAGAGCCACATGTTGAAAACGGCCCGCCCTCAATCGGTGAAGCTCTTGCAAATGTTCAAGCCGACTGTGCGCGGCGCCAATGCGATCACCACATGTTGAAAACGGCCCACTCTCCATCTGTGAAATTGTTTCCAATGTTAAAGTTCCAGTGTCGTAAATGATGAGGAAGTCTCCAGAGACTCCTCCTCTTCCTACTCCTCCACCTCCTGTTCCTCCTCCTCCTCCTTCTCCTCCTCGTCCTCCTGTTCCTGTTCCTCCTCCTCCTCCTCCTACTCCTCCTCCTCCGTTTCCTCCTACCGTTCCTTCTCCTCCTCCTCCTGCTGCAGCTCCTCCTGCTCCTAATCGTCCTCGTCCTCGTCCATGTCCCCCTCTTCCTCCTCCTCCTCTTCCTCCTCCTCCTCCTCCACATCTTCCTCCTCAGTATGATTAGTTGTTGTTGTGTTCCTCCTCTTCCTCCTCCTCCTCCTCTTCTTTGTCCTCCTCCTCCTTCTCGTCCCCGTCTTCGTCCTCGTCATAGTCCTTTTCCTCCTCTTTCTCCTCCTCCTCCTCCTCCTCCTCCTCCTCCAATCCCTTTTCTGTATAGGAGGAGGAGGAGGAGGTGGAGGAGTAGGGGGAGGACGAATCATATAACAAAAAGAAGAGGAGGAGGAAGAGGCACACAGCCTTCTGGCGTTCTCTTGGGAAGCTCTTGGAGCGCTCTCGGGTGCTCTGGGGGTCGTTTGGGGGCCGTCTTAGAGGCCCTCTTGGGTCCCGCTTGGTTTTTTTTTGGTGGGCGCACAACGCCATCGGGAGCGCGCGCGCCACTGTGCCGCGTTGTGCGCGGGCACACATTTCGCGCCCGCACCCCGCCCGCGCCCATGCGACCGAGCTGCGCGCGCGGGCCGCCTTCCGCTTCCTTGCGCCTCGCGGCGTGCAGCCCCCGCGAAGGGCTCGCGCGCGCGAGGGCGGCGTCGGCATGCGTTGCGCAGCGCGCGCGCGCCCCGAGAAGGGCCCGCGCGCACGGTGTGCCGGCGCTGCTCGCTTCTCGCATTGCGTTTTGTGTTGCGCTCCGCGCAGCCCCACGAGAAGGGCCCGCGCGTTCACGGCGTGTTTACTGTGCTTTCTTCTCGCATTGTGTTACTCGCTTCATGCAGGCGCGCCGCGGGGATCCCGTCGGTGCGGATCGCGGCGCACCTCGGGGTTGCGCGGTTTGCAGGCGTTGTCGCTTGCATTCCGCTTGCGACGGCGCTCGCGTCCTGCCTTCGCTTGCGGCGCGCGCGCTTTCGCCCCGCCCTCCCGCTCCTGGGGTTACTTGCATCCCTGGCGCCCCGCGCGTCGGCTCTGTCTGGCACCGCCTGGCTGGGCGGCGCGGGGGTGCCGCACCCCTTGTCAAGTGGGTGCAGGCACCTTCGGGTGCGGGAGGCTGCAGGCGCAGCTGAAATTTGTGTGGCCATTACTGGAGCCCTTTGGAGGCCTCTTGAGGCCATCCTGGAAGCGATAGATCAAAAGAAGGGGGGGGGAGCGATGTTAGTCCCCCCCCCATGGGGTCCATCAAAATCGCCTTTTGGGGCCCCTTTGGGGCGCTCTTCGGCCGCCGTTGGGCGATATTGGGGTCGTCTGGGGGGTCTCTTGGGCCCCTATTGGGCCTCTCTGGGGCCATCTTGGTGCCATCTTGAGGCGTCAAAAGAGCACCACAAGCGAAAAGGCGAGAATGCAATTGCCACTGATCTCCCTATTTGGTTTTTCAAGGACGTGGGCCCCTTCGGGGGTTCTCCGGGGGGTCCGAGAGCACATGGAGCCTTCTTGTGGCCGTCGCCGGGCGTTTTGGCAGCATGCCGGAGGTTATCTTGACCCATCTTCGGATATCTTGAGCCGCCTTGGAGGCCTTTTTGGAGCACCGTGGGGGCCCTCTTGGAGCCATGTTGAGCGGAAAGACGGTGCCACCCCACGAAGCCCCGGGGAGGGGGCGGGCACATGCCCCTCCGTGAACGGAAGAGGCTCTTGGGAGAAGAGCTAGCTCGCTAGACCGCCTTCGCCGCTAGCCCAACGGGCTGGCGGGATGGGTGCTCGCTGCGGGAAGCGCCCCATTGGAAGACAGCCGTCCGAGAGTCTTCAATCGCGCCCGAATGCCCTCCCTGGTGCTTGAACTCCGCGAGCCAACGTGACCTGTTACGTCCTGGCAATCCTAAAAAGTGCCACGGCACAGGCCCTGGGACTCCAAAGCTGCGAATCAGCGTGACTGTTGCGTCCGGACAATCGTCAATCGCCGTCGGACACCACTACTGGGAATTCAACCCTACGAATCCTTCAATCCAATGCGAACTTGTAAAACGGATGCGCGTGGGGCTCAGGCGAGAACAGAATCCCGAATCCGAGGAACAGCGTGTCACTTCAATGCCTCAGCAAACGTTTAAAGAGAATGCGCCCGCCGCTGTGGTGGGAAACAAATTATGGAAAAAAGGACCCGCCCTGTATCCTTGAAGTGTTTGCGAACTTTTAAGACGAACGTGCGCGAGCGAAGGCGAGAACCACATGTTGAAAA